AACTTAATCACTTGATAGCCGAGTTGTGCTGTGGCATCTAGGGATATGTCAACTGTCCTCTGGGCCAAGTTACCCAGGACACCATCCACAAAATTATTAGTGTGAACTGTTCTTTCAAAGTGAAATTAAGATTAATCACTTCATGAGAAAATGTGAAATTCCTTGAAATCTTAGCTTAAATGTAGAAGATTCTTTAGAGCTTCTTATAATATTATTATAAATAAAATAGAAATTTTTTCTGAACTATCAAAAATTTAAAAAGCAATTTTGGTCAACTATGGTTAAAAATTAAAATCAACAAATATTCTTTGTTTCTTTAATGTGTTTTATTCCACATCAATTGTGAGAAAGTGAGTATTAAGAGTTCCTAGTTATTAGGAGGCTACGATGGCTGTTAATAGAAAAGGCATTAATGTCAGTAGCTCTGGAAAACATTTCTTAGGAGGCAGAGGAGGTGTTGAGTATATGCAGTCCGGTTCACTTTCCCACAAGTTGCTTCCTTTCTGAGATTCAGCTTAGGTGTCGACCAAAACTATCCCATATCTGTAAGGAGCAGAGTAAACCCCTTTCCCTTGGTAGCTTCAGGGTTTCAGTGGGAGAAAAATACCTCCTACATGGGTCGTAAACTAGGAAAGCACTTTGGATTCTTTGGGAAGGAAAATAGGGCAGCCCTATGTTTGCATGGATTTGTCTACTAACATAAACAGGGCTGCCTAACTGATACAGAGTTCCTCCACAGATAACATAAATATAAAGGGAAACAAGTAGAACCATTTATCCAAAATTTATCCAAAAATGTTCTGCTCTGTTGCTAGTTACTGTAGATCATTATATTAGAAGCTTTCTTGGTTTTCAAGTAAACTCTCTTAAAATATGAATGTCTCTAAGAGGAGTCTAGCCTGACTATTAGATGGAACAATTCTTTCCAAGCTTTGCCAACGCATTCTCCCCTCCCCCCAGCTAAATGGTCTTTCCATCCAAATTCAGAGAAAAGATGAAATGGACAGAAATGGTAACATTCCACTTATAATTTCTCTTATGAATTTAGTGATAGCAGATGGTCAAAGAAGAAAATACGAATCGAGAACTTTTACCTTTTTTACCCCTCCTCATCTCTTTGTGACAATCTAACAAACTGAATCACAGTCTGGTGTTCCCGCAAACATAGGAAAGGCAATGTTCTCACTAGTCCTATCTTCCCAAACACCCAGGGCCATGTTACCAGTAAGTAAATGATCCTTTTCATATCTTTATGACTAGAGGTGTGAATGACTACATAGAATAAGGCTGAATCCTTGGAAGTATAAGTATAAATCAAATAAATGCTCAGCACCCCTGGAATGTGCAAATTTCAGATTTCAAATTGCAGACCCCCACAGCTAGTAACTGACTGAGTTTTCTTAGGTGGGGGCATATGATACAGCAATGCCAGGTGTGTGAAGAAACCCTTTTCCTTTTTACAAGAGATGTTACACACTGGTTCAGAGTGGGGACATTTAACTTGCTAGTGTTTATTTTAAGAAAAATTTCTCCTGGGATTCAGTGTTCTCATCCATGAAATGGATATAGCAATACTCTTCTAGTCAGCTGCTGGTTTGCTTTCAGCTCCATCCCAACACTTTCTCTTTTCTCTGTTTTACAAGGGAACTTGATTCTTAGGACCCTTTGCCCCTGGTCTCCACATAGGTGCAGCCAATAGCAGGCCTTGACAGAAGATGTGGGGACAGCAGGAAGAGAGAAGTCAGGGCCTTCCTCCCTCTTTCACTTCTTGCTTCCTGTGGTGCACTGGTAGTAGTCTTCTCCATAGCTAGTGCCCATCAGATTGTCTCTCCCTCCATGGTCTCAGCTCCTACTTGTAGTCTTCATCATAATTCTAGATCCTACCACTTGGTCCCAGCTGTTGGGGACTAGAAACATGCTTTCTTAGTAGCTCTCCAGCCTCAGGGGTCATAGCAACTTCTCATTTTGGCTATTCCCTGAGCTGCCTCACAGCTCCCTATTTGGCCTCTTTGATCACATGCAAAACTAATTCCTGTGTTTGATTCCTTTTATTGGAAAGACCTAGAGGGCTGGATGGACCCTGGTTGTTACAGGTATCAAATACACAGGGATACTGGGAGGATTAAGGATTACTTGTGAGTGAAGGTATGCAATTGTTTAGTATATTGTCCTAGAACACAGCAAGTGCTCGATGAATGGTAGCTATCAACAATGACCTTCTCAGCAATGATTTTCAGGGAATAGTGCTGGATTATATTATTTTTATTCTTTTAATCTTAGTAGTTAAAATATGACATCACTTCAAGAGAAATCTGAAATGGACACATCTGCCAGGAAAGACTCCTGAGTGTTTCTAGCTCATGTGCAGTCTCCAGTTTCCATAGAAACAAGCCAAAAAAATTTGCTAAAGGAAGCCTAGAAAATAAGTAGATTCAGGTCTGTATGATTATGTTCCAAACCCTTCATCACCCAAGCAGACTGTTGTTACTATTAACTTATTGTCTCTTTAATACATTTTTTTTCTTATAAGATACAATAGACCTGGATTTTTTTTTTCTATGCTGAGGATGACACAAAGCCTAGGACCTCTTTACCACAGTATCTTCTTTCTTACATCCCCAAGAGCAGTGCTTTCAAGGCTACTGTCATTGTGTTTATCTGACAAATTGCTGCATAAACCCAGCTCCTGTCATTTGGTAGCTATTCAGAGGTTGTTTGATGTCTTCTGTAAGCCACAGGCACAATAACCAAATATATTAGGTTAAGCAGCAGAGAGGAACCAACTGAAATCCCAATTAACATCCTGAGATGTGAATGAGAACTCAGTGGGAATGGAAATATTAAATTTCCCTGCATGGGAGCGGGTCATTTGATTGCAACCCAACTCCTCGGAATCCCTGTTTAGCCCTCAGAACTGGTGGCCGTAACAAGTGAGGCAGCTCTGAGTCAGACCTGCCAGAGTTTGAATCAATAACCGGATAATCTTGCTCCAAATTCCAAGCAAATTTAAATCTTTTTCTTTATGATATATTTGGAAAGGGAGGAATTGAGGGAATGGGAGGGAAATGCAAGTATCTAGAATACCAAGGTGAACTTTACTACTTTCTGTGCCAAAGAAAGTTTCCAGGTGTCCCCTGGAGGTATTCTTAGGACATTGGAGAGGTTGGGCCACCCCTAGCACCATCAGTTAAGTCCACTGCATGACAGCTTCCCTTGGCTATTGCTATGGTTAAGCACATACTTAACTCAGCTGCTCAGAATACAGAGAAAATAAAACTAGAACATGGGAGAAAAGGACTTGAGGGTGTTTTATTCAGCTGTTTAACCATTGTGACCAAAAGACCCAACAAGAACAGTTTCAGAGGAGAAGTTTATTTGGTGCTCACAGTTTCAGAGGTCTCTATTGGTCTGGGCTGGAGGTGAGGCAGAACATCATGGCGGATGGGTGTAAAGGAGGAAAGGTGCACAGAACATGGCACCAGGAAGCAAAGAGAGACTCCCCTCACTGGGAACAAAATATATACTCCAAGGACACATCCCAACGAACCCCCTTATCCAGCCACATCCTACCTGACTACTGTCACCAACCAGTTAATCCCTATTGCTGGATTAATGCACTGACTAGGTTAAGGCTCTCATAACCCAATAATTTCACCTCTAAACCTTCTTGCGTGGTCTCGCACATAAGCTTTATCTGGACACCTGTTATCTAAATCATAACAGAGGGCTTTGACTAGATTGCAGCGTGGAAGACAGAATGGCAGAATAGACAGGGCTCTAGGCTGGGTGTCAGAAGCATTGGGACCATCTTGGCCCTGCTGCTTTCAAGATGTAAGACCTTGAGCAAATCACTTCATTCATTCATTCATTCATTTTTTTCACAAGGTGCTTGGGAAAGAGAGTGCATGGCTGAGCATAGACACTGGCAAAATCAGAAAAGCCTGCTTGTAAGTAAGCTCATATGTACACTCAAACACCTGGAACACCAATCAATCAGCATTTATTAGCCGCCTATTCCAAAAGGTCTTACTATGATAATGAGACAGTGAAAACAATCTGAGTAGCCTTTTCTATATGGGCCATCTGTGGAAGTGGGTGAGAGAAAGTAAATGTTTCCCTAAGGGCAGCAAAGAGAACTCCAGTTCACAACCACAAAATCAATGCCTCCTACAATTGCCTCTCTAGCCCCTGCTTGGCAGAGCCTCTCTTGGCCATCTCTGATCGCCCTTCCTAAGGGTGACTTTTTCACCTATGACTTCTGTGACCACAGATGAGTGTCATATGGGTCCTTTAAAGCATCCATGCCCCTGTTTCCCACTAGGAGCCTAAGAGTCAAATGCTTTGTCACAGTACTTTTGTTTTCTAAAGAAAAACAAAACTTCACCTGATGGTTGTGTTGAAGAATAAGCACTAACTGCACAGGGCTATGGGGTGAAGGATTTCATCAGGCTGGCCTTGGATGCAGTGGCATCTGGATGACCATTTAAGTCACTCCAGGGAGTCATCCCAAAGGGGACAAGGTGAATCTTAAATGTGCTATCATTTATGTTCCTCCATTGCAAAGCTCTTTAAAATTGCCAGTGATCTAATCCTCCCAATAGACCTGATGAGGCAGATCAATACTATTAGCCCCTTTAGTGCATAGTGTTATTATCCACTTTAGGGATCATTTTCTTATCAGTTGATTACTCCATCTTCAAAGTCTCATCAGTGTCCTCTCATAATAATACCCCATTTTGTGACTGTGAGTCTGTTACCTGTGAAACACCAAAACTGCTCTCGCAAGAGAGGCCGGAGCTAGAGTAGATGGTACAAGAAGTGCCAATGGTCTGAATATCATCAAAATGCAAGGTTTCTCAGATGCAAGGACTCCAAGCAGGAGGCACTGGGCAGAGACCGGGACCACCTGCCCTTTCATCAGGTGACCTCAGGGAAATCACTTTTTTCTGAGTGAAGGATCAACTAACTTCTGTCTTTTTCTCCTTCTTTCTCTTTTACAGAGTTGTTAGGATGAAATGAGACCATAGCTGTGACTATCCTTTGGAAGGAAATGCAGGAGAAAAATACCAGAGGTGACAGTGATGGTGTGTATCAGAGCAATGTTATAAACCAATTTTGTTCTTTGTAAATATTAAGGCCTCAGAGTGCAACAAATGGGTTCAATGACATGTCTATTTGGATGGCTTCAATAATATGGAAGTCTGCTCTGTGACATATGAAAAAATTAAGACTTCTTGAAGTCACCCAATGAGGCAACTGGCAGGGGCCTAGAAGGTGAAATTAGAAGTCTTTTATAGGTGACCTACTCATTGCAGTTTTCCTGGGGCCTTCCCAGGAAACCAGATGCCTGGTCAGCCCTCTCTGAGGCTGAAGCTCCATGTTTGGACCCTCCCTGAACTGAGCAAATCCAGGTGTACTGTGGCTTGCTTTCTTAGGCCCAGTTTACCTAAGGGTGGGACAGAACATTCTTGGTCAGCATCTGGAGGATGAGGCTCAAATATTGGAATTCTTTGTGGTCACCAAGGCTGTGTGGTAGTCATCATGACAATTGTGGGATTTTCTCGTTTTCAGAAAGACCCTGGGTTTCATGGCCTCTGTGAAGACACTTATTACAGAATTAGGGGCTCAGGAAGTTCACCTTTAACAACAACCTACTTCCCTCAAGTTGTCAGCCTCTGCTTGCAAACACTTACCTCAGAGCCCTGGCCCCACCCAGCAGCCTTGTCACACCTATAATGGATCTGAAAGTCCACATGGGCCACACACACATGGTTATATCATTATGTTCTTTCACTAGGAAAGTTGGCAAATTATCAGAAGGAAAATAAATATTTAGGGTCTTAACTCCATTGGCAATTTGTGCATGGTATGTGATTACTGATATCCTCTATATTTATTTTAGAGGTTTCTGTATGTATATGGTTTGTTACAAAGTCATGTGACCAATTGAGGGTAGTAGCTTGACCTCTTCATTCATTACCTGTGTTGATACTCCCTAATGATGTCCAACGTGGCTCTTTCTGTATGAAGCAAAGCAAGCTCCCTTTCTTTTTAATGTGTACAGGCAACATGGATTTGACTAAGTAAAGGAGATATTCCTCTACAATACATGGAAGAGATAAGGGCAAAGCGTCTCTTTGGACTATCAGTTCATGGGCCCTAGTATTGCCATCCCTCTTCAAGCCTCATTATGGAAGTGAGCTTCTCGGGTCTCTATTAAAAGTCCATGGGCACCAATGTCAAAACTGTCCCGAGGCTGGCTGGGTCACAAGTCAGTACACCACAAAGGGCTCAAAGGACATGGTGGAGGCACTGTAACACTGAGAGCCCAATGAGGTTGGAGAAAGAAGTGTTTCACCAGTGACCCCAAATGTCAGGTGGTAAGGTGATAAGGTGGGGTCAGCAGAGGCACACCACTCCCTGTTTCCAGGAGAGCTCTTATTCTAGTCATCCTTCTCCACTGTGACCAAAAGCCCTGACAAGAACAATTTTAGAGAAGGAAAAGTTTATTTGGTGCTCATGGTTTCAGAGGTCTCAGTCCATAGATGGCCATCTCCATTGCTCTGGGCCCAAGGTGAGGCAGAACAACATGGTGGAAGAGTGTGGCAGAGGAAATCAGCTCTGGTCATGGCAACAAGGGAGCAGAGAGAAGGAGAGAGCTCTGCTCACCAGGCACAAAATATATACCCCACAGTCATGCCCCCAGTACCTATCTCCTCCAACTGCACCCTGTCTGCCTTCAGTCACTATTCATTTAATTCCTATCAGTGAATTAATGCTCTGACTTGGTTTAGGCTCTCATAACTCAATCATTTCACCTCTGAACTTTCTTGCATTGTCTCACACATGAGCTTTGGAGTGACACCTCAGAGCTAAAGCATAACTCTCTTCATTCCTAGGTCTGCAGGGAGGTGGCTCCAGCTCTTTGTACAAGAGAACTGGCCAGAGCTGGGTAGGGAATTGAAACCCTGGAAAATGGGTTTTATTTTTTTTGGAACTGGGATTTTTACCCTTTTTGTACAATGGAACTTTTGTGAGCTTGTTGGGAACTATGGACCTCTTAGAATTGTGTGTCAGTGCGTGTGTGTGTATATATATATATATATATATATATTTTTTTTTTTTTTTTTTTTTTTTTAATGGGGTCTTCCTATGTTGCTCAGGCTGGCCTCAAACTCTTGGACTCAAATGATCCTCCTGCTCATCCTCCTAAACAAAAATACATATGATTCCAATTACATTGAAATACAGTTATAAAAATATTTTGAAAGTCCCCAAATATGTGATGTAATAATTTATATTTATTTTATTTATTTATCATTGGGTGCTGAGGGTTGAACCCAGGGCCTTGCAAATGTTAAACAATACACTATCACTAACCGCTCCCCCAGCTCCTGTGTTAACTTTTTAATGCTTTTAAATGGAAAGATTAAATGGTAGGTGTAATGATTACTCTAATTTTGAAATAATGATAAATATAAATGACTCTTCAAGATATATAACAATTGTAATATAAACATATCTGTGAATTCTATTGGTAAAACAGTTATAGGTACTATGAATAACCTCTATGGCTTATTGACTTTGTTCATAATTCAAAGAAAATACTAACTTTTAGTTATGGCGAAGGTCAGTAAGCATTGTTTCCTCTAAAGGTCTGATAGTAAACACTTTAGGCTTTGTGAGCCATGTGGTCTCTGTCGGCAACTATTCAACTCTGTGCATAGAGCATGAAATACAGATAATATTTAAATGAATGGACATGGCTGTGTCCCAATGAAACTTTTATTTATGGACAGGAAAATTTGAATTTCATATAATTTTTACAAGAAATGAAATATTCTTCTTCTTTGCTTGTGCTTTCTAACCTTTTAAAAAATGTAAAAAATATCCATAGCTGATCTTGGAGAGCTGAAGTAACCACCGCCACTCTCCGACAGATTGCAACAATAAAACAGGTGCGTGTTACTCAGCTCATCTCCCATACATCGGGGAATTCGCATAAAATCTCTCCTAGGCTCTCCGGGGGAGGGATTATCAGAGCTAGCCTGCATAAAGACAAAACTAAAAAAACACCCGACTAAAACTAGAAACACCCGACCTTCAAGTCCCCCTCCCATCAGCGGGGAAAACGAAACCTGTATTGCCAGCGCAGGGGTAGGGGCAAGCGGAAAAAATCAAAACAATAGAGTGCAGTGGGGGGTTCTCAATAGCCACCCTCCATGCCCAACAAACAGCAGGCCCAGAGTACAGTTTGAACTGCCGAGAGGCATCACTCAGGGGAAATCTGGTCTAGCAGGAGAAACCAGGACTAGCAGGAGAAACCAGGGGACTAGAGGCCAGGCCCGTGCAACTGGGTGGTTGGAATCCCCCCCGGCAGGCGACCGACTGTGCGACTGGACAGCTAGAGATTGCCTACCCACCAGCAACAGCCAGCCCATTGCCCCTGTGACTGAGTGGCTAGAGACCACATGCCCGCAGGCGACCGATAGCCGGCTGCCCGTGGGACTGGGCAGCTGGAGACTGCCTGCCCGCCGGCGACCGACCGCAAGACTAGGTGGCTAGAGATCTCCCGCCCACCAGCGACAGCTGGCCCGTTGCTGCTGTGACTGGGCGGCTGGAGACCGCACGCCCGCCGGCGACCAATTGCCTTCTGGCTGCCCGCGCAACTGAGCAGCTGGGGACCGCCTGCCCGCCTGCGACAGCCGGCCCATTGCCCCAGCGACTGGGCAGCTAGAGATCGCCTGCTCGCCGGCGACAGCCAGCCTGCTGCCCGTGCGACTAGGCGGCTGAAGACTGCACGCCCACTGGCCACCGATCATCCGCCCACTGCCTGCGCAACTGGGCGGCTGGAAACCGCCCGTCCACTGGCGACCAATCGCCCACCGGCTACCAGGGCGACTGGGCGGCTGGAGACCGCTCGGCTGCCGGCTTCCGGGAGCTGAAACCAACCAGAGACAATCCAGTCCCACCTCTCCATTCAGACACCCCAGTAAGGAGCCTGGGGCCCCCGCATAGCAGAGAGGTGACGTCACTGGAGCTCGGCCTCGGAATTCCTTCCCAGTGGAATCCACTTTAGCAAGCATAGTCTACCAACACAAAGGAGAGACAACAGAGATATAAAAAACCAAAACAAATTTATAGAAGAGAGCAGAAACACAGTAATCAAATAGAGCTGGAAAGTAGCGTGAACATCATGAAAAAACAAGGGAAAAAGGAGTATAAACAATGCAGGACAACTTAAATCTACAGGAGGACCTAGAAGCATCAGAAACAGGGATAGGGAAAGAACTCAA